TCCGAGGAAGGAGCCGGGGAGACGCGCTGAGGAGCCGGTGAGGCGCGCTGAGGAGCCGGTGAGGCGCGCTGAGGAGCCGGTGAGGCGTGCCCTTGGAGGCGGCAACCGCGCTGGCCCCGCCCCGCAACCTCCGGCCCCGGCCCCGCCCACTACGGATCGCGCCGGCCACCAAAAGAGCCCGCGCAGAGGGCGCCCCGCGGAGCGGAACCCTAAGGGTGCTGACCGCGCTGCGGAAGAGAACCAAGCGGGCCGAGGCCGCGGCGGGATGGAGCTGGGAGGAGCCCAGGGCCTGAACGGCGGGACTTGGGGCAGGGTCGAGTCGGGCGGAGCGAGTCTGGAGAAGGCCTGAGGGGGGCTGTTGGAGGACTGGGCGGGGGTGGGGTCTGCGCCCGGACAGGGGCCTGAAGCGGGAGCCGGGTCCATTGGGGTGGGACCAGGGCTGAGCCTCCAGCGGGGCGGGCCTGGGGTGGGCGGGGCCTGTTGCTGGGAGGAGCCTCGTGGCGGGGCGGGGTTGTGTGGGCGGGGCCTGCTGCTGGGCGGAGCCGCGGGCGGGGCGAGGCCTGAGGGCGGAGTCGAGTCCGGGGGACTCGCGGGGCTGCACGGCGAAGGTCGGGACTCTGGCCCGCGCCCCCGGGGCCTCCCGCGTGCTCGCTCGCGGGCCCCTGCCGGCCCTGCCCCTCCGGCTCTCGGCCCCTCCCTGCGCAGACCCGGGTAAGGGTGCGTCGGTGGTTTCCTCAGGAAGCCTCCACAGGCTCGGTGGCCCGGGCTGGCGTCACCCCGGTTCTGGCCGCCTCTGGACCCGCGACGACCAGCTCTGGGAGGGGAAACGTGCCCGCGCTACTGTCACAGAGTAACTGGCCGTTCTGCGGGAACAAGCCCGCCGGGCCTGCTGTCTCTGAACACGCACCAGTGGCTGGGGGCGCCACCCATCTGGGGGCGCTGTGCTGGCCATAGCGTCTCTCAGGGCCCCAAAACCTGCACCAGCCTGGCCGGACGCCCAGCAAGGGCCCAGCGAGGGCACAGCACTGCAGGCGGGAATGGGCCAAGGGCAGGCTGTGCTGGCTGCTGCCCACTGCCTGGGCCTGCCGTCCAGCAAGGGTGGGCTCAGAGCCCCTCCGGTCAGCTCAAGGGGTGGGCCGTCGTGGTCCCCAGCTCTGCCTGAGCTACAGAGGTCCAGAGGTGGGGGACTTCTGCCTAGGTGAAGCCCAGATCTGTGTTAAACACCCCACTGCACCACCCCTCCGGAGCCTCGGCACCCGAGGCCTCTGGGCCCACTGCACAGAGGGCAGAGACAGGCGAGAGAGGCCGAGAGCCAGCCCTGAAGCTCTGGCCAGGCTTTATTATCCCGTATGGCTGCCCAGGTCACCTGGGCACTGCCCTGGGCCCTCGGCTACTTTAGAAGCTTCCTCATGGTGGCCAGGGACGGGCCCCGGTACGCAGGCCCAAAGTGGTTCCAGTGGTTCAGGTAGTTGAAGAGCTGGTACAGCAGCAGCCGCTGGTCAAAGCCCGGGGCCTTGGGGATCTTCCGGTGGTAGGCGGTGAAGAAGGGGCGGGGAAAACCCCCGAACATCAGGGCAATCGCCAGTTCGAACTCAGCGTGGCCGTAGAAGGAAGCCGGGTCATAGACAACAGGCCCCACGTCGTCCTCGGCCACGTTTCCAGACCAGAGGTCCCCGTGGAGCAGGGCGGGGACGATGTCGAGGCCACAGAACAGCTGGGGGACCTGCAGCTGGAGGTGGCGGGGCACGAGGCGCCAGCCCTCAGCGCCGGAAGGCAGCCCCGGGTGCCCCTGCTGCTGCAGGTGGTGGGCCGGGGCCCCACTTGGTGCAGGGGCCCAGGCGCCCTCCCCCCAGGGTGCTGGGAGCCCGTGGCCGGCAGAGCCACACAGCCCAGTGGCCTTGTGCAGGCGGCCTCTTGCCTGCCAGTCTCGCGCTGGCACTCGCCTGTGCCTCCCAGGCCCCTCGCCCCTCGCCCTGAAGGGGAGCACCTGGCCGGCCCGGGGAGCCCTGCCTGCGAAGCGGCCTCTGCGCCCCGCCCCACCGGCTCAAAGATGCATCGGGCGGGAAGGTAAGAGTGGACGCACAGTTACCGCGGACACAGCGACAGTGCGGCCACGCTCCTGCCCCCGGCCGCCATGCCCACCTGCAGCTGCGCCCAGAGCTCTCGCGCCTCCCGGTCGCCGTACTCCTTCTCAATGAGGTCAAGCTGCGCCTGTAGCCGGTGCCGGGTGAAGAAGGTGGCCCAGTCGTCCTGCCACTCGTTCACCTGGCCAGTGAGGAAGAAGAGCCCGATGCAGCCAGCCGGCGCCTCAGCCGGTCAACGGCGGGGGCGGCAGCACACACACTCAACCCGCCGAGGCACGATCAGGGCGAACTCGATTCCCAGCTTAAGCGACCGCAGAGGGCGGGAGAGGTGCACAGAACGCAGGTTTCAAAGCTGCTCCTCGCCCCCCGCAGTCCAGAGAAGATGGGGCGCAACACTCACATCAGCCACTCAGGTCTCCAGCAAAGAGCGCGGCGAGGGCCGCGGGATGGCGCCGGGCTGATGAGGACACAGCTCTGGACGGTCAGCCCGATGGCCAGCAACCGAGCATGTGGGCAGAGCCCACACCCGCTGTCAGGAGCCAGCTCCCAGGGTGCTGCTCGACGCCCACACAGGACACACTGAGTGTGGTGGGAGGCCGGCTCTGCTGGGGGACTCAGGCGAGTGGCCAGACCCCGCAAGCCCGCCGACCGTGGCTCCCCCGGCGCCGCTTATCCTGGCCCGCGATAATGCATCGGGTCGGCTCTGGCAGAGACGCGGAGGGGCACTGGGCGAAGCTCCCCGGGGGGGAGCGTCGAGGGCGCACACATCCCAGGGCGGCTGATCCTCGTGTGGGGCCTGGCCGCTGCCCCTCCACGGTGGGGGACCTTCTCCCGACAGCCTGCAGCTTACTCCGCCAGGCCCGCGCAGGCCAGGGTCAGTCTTGCTCGGAGTGGCCAGGCCATAAAAGACACGGCTTGTGGGCACAGCGGTCAGACTCAGCACTAGGAAGCCGTTGCCTGCCACTGCAGCTTGAGTCCATCCCTGGCCAGGAAGTGACTCACAGGGCAGGGCAGCAGACCCCTCCTGTCTCCCCGCTGGCCCCTCAGCAGTGCGTCTCAGTGGACCTGCCTGTCTCTGGAGAGTCCCCTCGCCCTCACACCTCTGGCCTGCACCCCAGCTGTACTGTGCTTAAATAAATAAATAAATCTTTAAAAGTAACAAAGGGGGTTGGGCCCCAGACAGTGGGCAGTCCGGGCTGGCAATTCCCAGTCCCTGACCTGGCCACCGCTGGGCCCCACAAACAGCCCCATCTATCACACAGTCCTGAGCTGGTCCGTGTTGACCAGGGCAGAGCTCAGCGCACGCAGAGAGCACTAAACCCCGTGGGCTGAGAGCCCCCAGGCAGCCTCTCAGCCTTCCCTGGGCGCCCCACCTGGGGCTCCCTGGTGTCGTCGGCAGAAATGAGTGAGGCGCTGGCCCCCTCTGGCAGCTGCATCTGACCGGTTGGCTCGCTGACCCTGGAGTCTGAAGGGACACCCAGGCCCGCCCGCGTCCCTCATAGACCAGCCCCATCAGGCCCCCTCAACCACTGGGTGTGCACACTCCGCTCCCCAGATCTGGGAACCACGACAGCCACCGTGGGAGGCCAGCGGAACAAGCCAGGGCAGCCCGGGCAGGACCACCGTGTCCTGGGCCAGCTCCTCACCAGGACGGGCAGGAACCGTGGGAGTGAGGGCTGCCCTGGCTGGGACCCCGGAATCGCCTCTGGCTTCATGCAGATCTCGCCCCCGGTGACCACCAACTGGGAAAACGCCAACTCCAGACACCAAGGCCCTTTTACAAGTGCCCAGAGCCGGAAGTGTCACCAGCACTAAGCCTCGATCCCGAGGTGGGGTGGCGGACCTGGCGTGACCCCTGGCCGCCCTCCGCAGCCTTTGCACACCAGGTGGGCCGGGCTAGTGCGGGCTACCGGCTAAGCAGGGATGCCCGCGCTCACCTGCGGGATGAAGCCGCAGCAGGTCCCGGTGTGGAAGCCAAACTTGGTCACGTGCTGGGGCTCGGCTGGCTGGCCTGCGGATAGAGAAGGCTGGTCATCTGCGAGGCCTGGGCTGCACTGCCCCACACCCCTCCCTCGGGCCACGCCCGCCCCCGACCACACCCACCGTCCATCCCACAGTAGAAGGAAAAGGGTACTAGCAAGTCAGGAGCTTATCAGCAGTCAGAATTCATATGGGCAATCTCGCCCGCACATGCCGTGTAAGGGGCAGGGTGCAAGTCACCCTATCTCTGGAGCATCCCCAGCAACAGTCCAGGCCGCCCTGCAGCGGGCACGGTTCCAGGGTGGACACAGCCTGGACGCACCCACGGCGCTCGCCGTCTCCTTCAGCTTCTCCCCCAGCCTCTGGTTGTAAAGGTGCAAATCGGCCACCTGGTCTCCGAGGACAGACGCCTGGCTGTGGGCAGAGAGACCGGCCAGCGGGATGAGCGCCAGCCGCGGGGGTGGCGCTCTGAGGCGCGGTCAGCGCCTGCCAGCCCCGCTGAGTGGTGGGAAGCGGCGCGGCGCCACGGAGGGACAGACAGCTCCGCGAATGCCAGCGCGCAGCCCAGGCGCGGAGAGAGGTCATCTCCGCCACGCGCCAGCCCGGCCGCGTGTCCCTGTGCCTGCGTTTGTGCTTTCTGTCTTTCAGGGACTGCACAAGTTTTGGTAATCAGGTGAGGTCGTAGCCAGAGCTCTCCGCCCTGGCTGGCTGCGGGGGACGCGGACCCGGCACGCCCCACTCCCAGGCCCGCGCCGGCAGGACGCACCCCGCCAGGCCAGATGGGCCCCAGGAATGGCGGGGTTCGGGCAGCCCGAGGCGCGCTCCCCTCTTGCTCTGCCTGTCCTCCCCGCAGCCGTCCAGTCCCTCCCTCTGACCCCACCTGCTCAGACTGCGCATCTTCAGGTGCTCCATCACAAAGGCAGCCCCCCCACCGGGCAAGTCGATCAGCTTGAGGGGCCTCGGCGCCCGCACCCGGCCGGTGCTCCGGAGGGCCTCCAGGCTCGCCATCTCCCCCTCGAACATCTGCCGGGCCTGCGTCCAGGACATTTCTCTGAGTTCCAGCCGTAGAGGCCTCTGTGGACAGGCCTCGGCCAGGGAGAGGAGGCTGGTGCAGCCCAGATGGTCAGACCCAGGGGCAAGGCCGGTGGGGGGTGCTGGGAGCAGGCGCCCCTGCAGCAAGCACAGACAGTGGCAGCAGGGAGGCATGCGGAGCAGTTCCGAGGGACTGGGGTACTGAGGGTGCCATGGAGATGCTGGGGAGTACAGTGCGACACCGTGAATGCCACCTGGTGCCAGAGGCATGTGGCAACTCCTGGGGACACGGGCTGCAGTCACGTGGGGTGCTTCAGAATGCCCTGCTGTGCAGGCACCCCTCAGAGTGCAGGCTGCTGACGGTCAGCCTGGGTCCCCCTCCAAGTGACCCACACACCTGGCAAAGGAGCAGAGCCGGTCTGCCGGGTGGTAAGCTGGGGGGGGGGAGCCGGGCATAGGCCCCGGGGGCAGCCATGGCTGCGCTGGAGCCAGGGGCTCCCCATCTCTCAAGCTCCCCCTTAGACTCCCGGAGACCCCAGAGAGGCACCCCCTTTCTGCCCCCAGGCAGGACCACAGAGCTCCTGGTGGCTCCATGTGGGGGTGCACCCAGACCAGGGTATCCTCTGCGCCTGCTCTCAGGATCTGGGGTGCCCCTGGGCTGCACAGAAATGATTCCCCCTCCATCTGTGAAGCCTTTTTGCTTGAGCATTTCTCACGAGTTAATATCCAACAGGCCATGGAAGCCACATCTGCCAGCCTGGCCCTGGGGGTCCCAACCAGCAACCCCCACCCCGGCGCAGGGGAGACAAGGAGCCTGGGGCCAGCATCCCCAGCTGCGGGAGAGTGACACGTCAAAGCCAAAACTGCATCCAGCAAACGAAGGAAATGAACGCGGCCCCCCCCCCCTGCTGAGAAGGCCCGAAGGCGCCCCAGGACGGCTGGTGGCCACCGCCCAGGCAGGGTCCCGCCGCCCGCCCGCCGCACCTGCGCCCTGCGGTTGACCTTGACGAACACCGGGCCGGCGTCCGTGTCGTAGGCGCGCCCCTCGCTG